ATGCTTTCCTAAAAGGTATATTTAAAATAACAATTATTAAACAAAATATTATTTATAAATATTTTTAACTTTCTATATTAATAAGTGATGTATCACCGTTAATGATACGGCCTATATTTGTTATATAGATATTGAAATGCAGTTTGGTTTAAAAAGTAAAAAAATAAGTATAGGTGATGATAAGATTAAATATATTAAAAAATAGTGTTGCTTATATTAAACATAATATAGAAAACTTAACGCTGAAAAAAAAAAAATAATAATATAGAAAACTTTTATAAGCATATTCTCTATAAAAGTATGTACTTTCTTTAAATGTATGCTTTGTTTTGGCCTAAATATTCTTTATAAATATACTTAATGTTTTCTGAGTATATGTAGAGGTTTTTGATCTAGAGAATAGCATATTTATATATTCAATGAATATTCGAATATTCGAATATATAATTGATTCACTAAATTGAATATTCGAATATAAAATTTTCAATTGAATATTCAATGAATAAATACTATCTAAGGCATACAAACTTATACTATTGGTTTTCATATCATCAAGTAATCTTTCATGACTCGGTGACCTGCATTTTAAAAAAAAATTATTTAAAAATTTTGTCTTATAACCCGGATACCTGGTAAAAAATTTTATATATAGCAAATTATCGGCTGGGCATTTTTACTTAATGGGACTATGGTCTTAGTAAGTTTTTAGTGACTCTAATTAATTCCGGACCAACAAGTCTTTTATTTAGGGATGTGTACCGTTTATTCAATTAGAAGACCAGACCCATCCCTAAGTGTCCAATCATACATAACATTTATATACGTAGCTGCTGACCCTCCTCTACATTTTCAAACCTTGTTATAAAGTTAAAAAACTTTGAAGATTTTGCTTAAATATTAGGTGATAAAATGAATATTGGCCATATCAAACGTTCATTCGAAATTGAAAATAATTATAATTAAAAGCTATTTAACAGTTGACATTGATATAAACGTGGTTTCACCATTTACTAAAATCAAAGTTATAACCAGTGGGCTTTGGCTTTTTTGGAACTGTATCTAAAAATTGTTCTTCGGTCGAATCATCTTCGTTCACAAGTTCTCGTTTTTTTGATATAGCAGACTTTAAATATTTTCCAATGACACCATTATCTTCTTTAGATGATGATACTTTATTACCGAACCAATTGGTTGTTGAATCCTAAAAAATAGAATATATATTAGCATAAGTAAAAATAAGCAGAAAGTTTTCTAAAAAAAAACAAAAATACCTTTTCATTTTTCTGCGGTTTTTTATCTTGTTTTTCTGTTGATTGTCGATTCAGTTTTTTTTCAAGATTTTTTTTGTATTCTTCATATGGATCCACAAATACAGTTACATTAACAATCTTAATTTCATTTAACGGACGATCAGAATCATCTGTAGGTACAGATTCCATTTTATCTAAAACGTCTTTTCCTCCAACTATTTTCCCAAAAATTGTATGTTTGTTGTCCAAATGTACGCAAGGTCGAAAAGTAAAGAAACTACAAAAAAAAAAAAAAGTGTCATCGGTTAATGTTATCATGATAAATTTATAAAAAGGGTTGAATGCTGAATATAACACAATATTTACAACTGAGATGAATTAGTATTCTTTCCTCTATTTGCCATACTTAAAAGACCTCGTTCATTATGTGACAAATTGCTTTTAAATTCGTCCACAAAATCTTTTTTCCAATATGACTCTCCTCCTTTGCCAGTACCAGTAGGATCTCCACCTTGTATCTAAAAATTTTTTCATATGTTCGATAATGTTTATTAAACTTCGCATATATATATATATATATATTATTTATTTACCATAAAATTTTTGATCTTGCGGTGAAATATAATTCTAAAATTTATTTTGGATTTTTTGCAAAAATTCGTTAAATTTACAAGACATTTTAAAGCCGATGTATTAAATTATTTACGAATTGCCTATACCAACCCGTTATAGTATCCTTGTTTGGAAAGCATTATGAAGTTAAAGCAAGTCCGCGGTGACTGATTAAAACAACATTAATAGTTAAATTTAATTAAAAAACCACACACCATTATTCATGAGAATAATACCTTATCGCAAAAAAGTTCTACGTTCAAATTACCGAGATTAGTCGTTACACGGGCATAACCCTTGGCTTTAATTTCCTTGAACATAAATTCTTCTTCGTCAATAAGCGCATTTTCATTTACAGTAACAGGCGTCATTGCAGTGGACGTAAATGAGGCAGCTGCGAGACCGCGTGTATATGGTGCGGCGTTATATGGCAATTTCTTAGGTTTAGATCCTACAGACGATGAGACTTTTGTTATTTTTTCAGAGGCAGGTTTCGACTCGGTACTAATATTTTGTTTTTGATCAGGTACTTCATCTTGCTGCAAAAATATAACTTAGAATTTAAGTCTGAATAAAAAAATAACTAGAATGAAAATGACAAAGTACTAACACGACTTGAAATTTTGTTTAACACGCGTGCTGCAGATCCCACAGCACTGATATTAATGTCATTCAAAGGATTATCCTTTGCATTTTGATCTGAAAAATAATAAAATATAAGAAAACTAATAAAAAGAAAATATACAAATTATTTCTTAAAAGATAAAAAACCTTCATCTGCTTTTAAGTCATTTTTTACATGATAAAAGTTCGAAAAATTACGATTTTCAAGATTGTGAGGATCCTGTATAGTATAAATATTGAATTAAAATATAATGACAAACACATTGTGCTAATTTCAGTAATGAAATGTCAAGAACACCTGTATAGTTATTATATCTTTTCTCGTGAAAGGTTCTTCAGTTATTAAATCCAACCAATTTTTGACTTTAATATTTAGTCGTTCAATGGCTTCATATGCGTAAACATTTCCAGTGGTCTTAATTGCAACAATATGTGTGTGATCATTGAAAACTTTAAGTGTTGCAGGACAGTGATATTCATCTATAAACAGTAGGGTTGTAATCTCAATAAATAATAATCATCATATTAATAATAATATAGTCAACTCGCTCTAAATACAGTCTTTTCAATGCAGGCTATCTAAGAATTGTATGTATTTACTATCTCGAAATATAGTTTCTCCCTAAATGTCGATTTTTATATATGGCCTTGTTACATTGCATTTAGAGAGAGTCAACTGTAATAATAATAACTTACGCAATAATATATACCATTTGCATTCTTATGAAAATTAAGTTTAATTAAAGATTTAGGATCCAATTTTTCACCTGTAGCAGGGTTTACACCATTTTTCTTTAGATAAGGATATATATTTCTGAAGCATGAAACAAACACGTTGAAAAATATGGAAAGACTTCTGAAATTGATATACCATAATATAGAACTTAATATAATACCTCAAATCAAAAATTGTTCCCTCGGGTGAACATACAGGATGTTCGAACGGTTGTAGAGATAACGAACAGTAATTAAACGGTAATCTTTTAAAAATTTGGGTCTTTTTCCTAGCTTGAATACCACCAAACTGCATTCCGCCAAATTCACCAGACCACTCTAAGTAATATATAAATATATGAGCGGGATTGAACAAAATTTAGTGAGCAGTAAACTTATCAGGTTTTGATCTCTTACCAGAATGAGTGATATACCTGCATTCATTTTGACATAGGGTAAATAAAAACGATCGTGCAAATGAGGAGCTGAACATTGTAAAAAATATATATATTCTTACATTTTGTCAGTACCTTTACCCATTTTTGCAATGGTTTTCTCAGATTTGAAAGCGAGTTGAAATATTCACAGGTAAAAATAATGTAGATGCATGGTTACGTATTACAGTACCTATTTATAATCAAGATATAGTGATAGATCAACCATTCAATAATCCATAATCCGTAATCCTTACCGATACTAATTAATTTACGAGCTCGTAAGTTGTACGTAACATCTAAAACATAATATAATCGAATTATAGATCACTATGAATGTTGACGAAATTATACGACTAAAAAAGTCGTTGACGAAAGCGCTTGAGGGCGGAAAGATTAATGTAAGTTCTATTATTATTTAATAATATAATCGTCGTGTGGCTTAATAATTGACCATTTCATACGAACAAACATCTCGAATAAAGACTGTCCTTGAATTAATGAACAGACTCAGGGACAATACTCCCTCAAAAGAACTTTTAAAGGTAAGAAGGCTTGACCTTTATGTTAAAGGTGATTTGTTTTTTAAGAAAAAAATGATATTTTAATAGAAAACAGAAATTGGCCTAATTATTGGGAGGCAGCGCGTACATCCAAATCCCGAAGTAGCTAAGCTTGCAAAAGAAATTGTAAAAAAGTGGAAAGATGCAGTTAGTACATCTAAGACTAATGACACATCGAATGGCTCTACAAAGTCAGCTGTTTCGGAGAGTAAAGCTGAAGCGGCAAGGAATGCTACACCCAAGCCAAGCCCGACAGTTAATGGAAAACCGCCCAAAAGAGAAAACACACAGGATTCTTTGTCCTCAACACCACCTGATACACCAACATCAGTTGACTCTGAAAGACGAGAGCGTAATTTTGATCGTGATCGCCCTCCTTATAAAAACACAAACGTTACTGCACGAGATAAATGTGTAAAGATGCTATATGATTCAATGGCATTTGATTCAAATGCCGGTAAACTTTATTTCATCTATTATACTAACATTAATATCCGATATGAAGATTCAACATTAATATTATTTACTACACCATTGGATATCTTAGATTCTGAGATGATTCTATTACGAGCCACCACCATTGAAAAAACAGTATTTGATCAATTTGGAAGACAAGTAGTCGACAAATATCGAGATAAATTACGTGGACTGATCTCAAATCTTAGAGACAAAAAGAACCCAGGTCTTAGAAAACGTGTTGTTGACGGAGAGTTACAAGTCCAAGACTTTTGTACCATGTCCAAGGAAGTAAGTTATCACGATTGAAGATTAATATTTAAGATGCTTTTCTTTCTAATAACTATTATATTGTATGTAATGCAAAAGGACATGGCATCGGAGGAGAAAAAAGCTAGAGATAATGAGATTCGGCAAGAAAATCTTTTCAAGGCGCGTGGTGCTGGACCAACACAAGCTGAAACTGATATGTTCCTCTGTGGGAAATGTCGTAATCGCAAGTGCACTTATTACCAGATGCAGGTAAATATAGTTAATTTAAATCACTTGATTTACACATAAATGACACGAATTGAATTTTAATATATATAATCAAATCCACGTACCAGACTAGGAGTGCTGATGAACCTATGACGACCTTTGTTACTTGTACAGTTTGTAACAATCGTTGGAAGGTATTATCTTTTGATTTTATTATTTGTGATTTCATTTTTAATGCAGTAATAAACATATATCTATCCTTGAATCAAATATTTAGTTTTGTTAAGATCACAATGCTGAGGCTAGAGTTGCGAATCAACCCTTTTTTTGAATTATGACAGTACATAGTTTGGGTTTGGGATCAGGCTTCTACTTCATTTGGGATAATAATCAAACCCAAAATATATGCCCCTTTTTTTGTCAAACTCAAAATATCATTTTTGTTATATCAAAGCTATAAATTACTAAAACTTCATTATTTTCATTTTAAAATTAAGAAAATTAATTGATTTAACGACTAGATGGGATATATTGAATAAAAATGATATGTTAGGCCTAATAGTTATATCGAATATTTGAAAATTAATTAAAAAATGGAAGCTTTTCACGTTCAAATAAAACTCTGAATCATAAATAACAACAATGTTTTCTTTCGAAATTTGAGTAGAAATTCCTAATAGTTTTTTAGAAAAGTAAAACAATCGATAACATCTTTCTTTCAATTCAATCATCATTAATCATTAGGCCCCGCCTTATCGGATACGGGCGGCGCTATGGCATTCAATTCAATACTACACCGAATTTTCGCTAACAAGAGATCTCCGCTAAAGATACGAAGCCCTTACTAGCGAAATGTATTAGATTATACGGCAAATTAAAGACATTTTACGAAACCTAGTAAATACTATTTGGGCTTTTACCTAATCCAGAACTATTAAGTTTGGGTCGCAATTCTAGCTCAGGTATTGGTATTAAATGCTTAGAACTTTCTTGGTGATCCTTAATTATAAATATGATCATTAACAAATATCTTTAATAATTTATGGAATCAGAAAGTTTTAAATTTATGAGCTAATTTTGATTGTTTACACTTCATAGGTAAAAGGTTATGTTCATTCGAATATATATTAAATATTAATATGTATGCATCGTTTGCTATAAGTGTACGTATATAAAATTGGGGGTTTTGACATATGCAATGATCTACCTTTAGTTTGGTTCCGGCAGGCTGAACAAAATTCTTAATTAAATTTGTAAGTACTTGTAGGTTTATCGTCTTCTAGTTCTGCCAAAACCTTGAGAATTAGTCATATTAGAAGATCTACTAGATGAAGATCTACTAGATGAAGGTGATGTGAAAACAGTAGTTCCAGATCTGATAAATTGAGTAAAGTATTTCTTAAGTATAAATTAAACGTTTAACTATTAGATAAAATATGGTAACTACTGGTTACCTGGGTCGTTGTGATCCACTATTCCTACCCATGAAATACCCTCCAAGTGCACCCAACCCTAACCCTGTCCAAAAATTTTGACGTGTATTTCCTGATTGTGATGAATATTGATCAAATGAGTCTTAATCAATATAAATAAATTGCGGTAAGCAAAATTTAATTTATACGGTAGAAGCTAATAACATATGAATATTGAAAATGTACCATATCTGGGGTAAAATCCGCCGCCGCCACCCCCCGGCCAAAAATTTTGATATTGATTATTATTTGGTCTATTTAAAATACAACATTTTTTTTAAAACAGAACAAACTATTGATTCCACTTCAGATTCGAAATAAAACAACGCTTTAAAAAAAATATACCTGAAACTTCTTCGTCTCGTAAGTGATAAATAAATCTTATATAGAATAAATATCACCAAACATATCCAGGCAAGTTTAAAGATCGTTGAAAATAACCTGGGCTCTGGTAAATGGCGAAAAAAAAAAAATACAGATGTAAAATCAAACTATATGCTTCAATAACCCAACTCCTCTATTCTATGGATGTCATTCAAATATTAAAATCATAAACTATACTTTTAGGATTGAACAACTTGTAATATCTGTTATTGTACAAATCATCTTCGAACCATTGGTAGCTTCGATCGTTTCTCCAATTGTCCTTGTAATAAAGCGTGTACTCAAGTCCACACGACCCTAAAATATTTGAGTTAATATAATCATCCTTAAGAATAGATAACAATGGTTTCGGTTACATACCTTGTAGAATGTAAGGATCATCAGGATAACTATAGCCTATATAAATCAAGAGGTCAAAATTTTTAGTTAATAAAGACCTTAAATTCGTTCGACCTATTCATTCAAACGGATAACCAACTTGTCCAAAATTGCCATTGTCTGGACTAGAGATGGGCAATTGCACGCATGGTATGTAAAATATACAATTAAGGAATTAAATCATAATTTTGGCCAAAACGTGCATGCATGATGCACATGTGCATACTAAAATGAAAATTTTATATTTTGCTCATTTCTAGTCTTGACATTGATGAACTACTTTGAATTGAGCGAATATCTAGGATATCTATCGAATATACTTGCTCAAAAATTTTCTTATACAATATCGGATAAGATTTAATTCATGCTTATTTCTTACATACCTTCACAACTGACTGTCAACTATGTATATTTTTTAAATAAGTAATATTTGCGTAAAAAATTGCGCACAAGTCACTATTAAAACAGCGAAGCCTCTTTAAATGTACCCTAGAGAAATGAATACTCTTTAAATGCATCGTATATTTTAGTTCCAACCTAACAACACCTGCAAAATTTCTCTAGATGCATTCCCCTCTCTACGCGTAGTGTTACAAATCGGACCAAAAAACGCAATCGATTAGTTGGCAAAAAATTTTAAAAATCGATTATAAGTCGATTTTAGCCAACTAATCGATTAGTTGGTATGTCGAAATGGCTTGGATATAATTGTGTAGCCACTAATTATATAACGTATAAAACAACTAGTCGATTAGTCAACTAAATCTAATCGATTAGACAGTTAATTGATTAATCGTCGACAATCGATTAGTTGTCTAATAAAATTATCAATCGATTAGTTGCCAACTCGATTAACTAAACGATTTTTCGAGATTTGGAACACTATCTACGCGTTAGTATGGGGTACTTTTAGAGAAGTTTCACTTATAATAAAACAACATACAGGTCCAAATTTCAGATAGTCAGGAAGTTCAGCATTACATTTCCAATTCACATCTTGAAAATAATATTCAAGTCTATAAGTTCGATAAAATTTGATACTAATAAATACGAAAGAAATACCTTGAACACAAACCTAATCCATCGGAGCCTGTGTTGGTGCATTGTATTACATCTAAAATATGAAAGGTTAAAATTATAAGCACAAACTTTAAAAAGATCGTAATCGATCAATAACAGACCTGGCGTATACATATGACATGAATCGCCTCCGACACAACGCAATTGCTCAATTGGATCATTCCTTCGCCCTGCTGTCAACTCCCCCCGATATAAAGTAATCGTTTTTACGTCTTCAAGACGGACTTTAATGTCTGCCGCTTCGATGTAGTTAACATTAAGGCATAATAATGGTATAAAAATAATAATCATCATTTTGATCTAAGCTATTCAAAAGTCAAACCTGCAATACAGGAAATACAGGAATATAATTATTGCCTCACATCAGCTGACTTCTCATATAATGATAACGGTAGATCAATTTTGATTACGCAGTCTATAACATGAACACTACCGCTGTCTTTCCGGAGGTAGTTGTTGATTTGGACGGGCATTCCATTAATATTAAAGAACTTGCCAAACAACATGTGTTAATTTTAATTACACTTAAGGTATTGCTAATTTCTAATCGTTCCTACTACGAACTTAAAATTATGCTTATTTTTATAATTTTTAAGGCAGGGTGGTGCCCCGTGTGCCCACAACTTTTGCGAATTTTGAATATTTATGGATTGCAAGATAATCCGCCAGAAACTTTTCAGGATCCTTTCAACGGATCTATCATAGCGCAAGTTCCTCCGGAAGACCTTCCAGTATGCTTTTCATTTTATATTCATCATCTTTATATGGAAACAGTTCGGCATATTTATAAATAATTACGTATTAAAAAAAAAAAAACAGTTTTACAGACTTCTTTTAAAGACTGACGCATACTTTATAATTGTTTGTCCCGGCCCTGCTGACGAAGTACGTCGGATACAAGAACTTTGTAACTTCTCAAAATATTCATATCCATTTATCGTAGATGAGAACCTTTCGCTTGCGTCACAAATTGAACTTAGGTACCGATATTAATTTTTGATTCTACTAAAAACGTTTTTAAATTGGCATATTTAATCCTCTGATGGATTTCTCACGAAAAAGGATGTCGCGTACAGAAATAATGCCATTCATCGGGCATATATATCCAGAAACACGAATGGTTTTCCCCATAAATTGGGGGCGTGGCCCTGGGATTTATGGTCATGATAAATTGTTGAAGTATTTATATGACTATCGGTTTCAAGTCGAAAATAACGCGGCTAAGCACGTATCTGAGGCAAAAGATTTAGAAGCACCTTTTAAAAAGGTGACAGATACCATATTATCTATAGGAAGCCTGGAAAATAGGACGTTGCAGAAACAGATATTTCCTATAGAGCTATTCGCACAAGTATTTGAGCACATTGAATCAAAAGAAATGATGAAAACAGTGATGGCTACATGTAGACAGTGGAGAGCAATTGGATTTGATTTAATAGCTATGAGAATGAGACAAACAGTGAGTCATGTGTTAGAATCTCTTGTTGCATATCCTCAAACAATTCGATTACCAGCAGACAATAAGGCTATAAGTGTTTATGAGTTGGGCTTGCTCATTAAGGATTTGAATATAATAACTAAGATTGTTCGGCGACTTGCTGCCCAGGCTTAGCTGATGTTTTTTGTGATTATGGAATCGGTTAAGCTTGTAGTTACGAAGTAAATATTTTAGTTCAAATTTTATTCCATAGAATTTTAAAGCTTAGGCTTTCGTTCTGCAACTTAGTTTATTATTAGTAATGTATGTAATTCAGGTATGTATGTCAAAATAAATGTACCATATACAGATTAATTTTATTCTTTACATATCAGACATGGCTCTCTAGTTATGCACTTATTGGTCACATGTCTAAATTTTATATGCAAATTTTGAAAAAATTCACTTCAATTTAAGAAAAAAGTCTTCCCGAAGTGGTAAAAATATTAGTGCCAATTAAATAGTAAATTGGCGACGCACATTATGTTAGAGACGTGCATTAAGATTAGAGGTTAATTTAGACAGTGCATAAAATCGGAATATATATACGGGGTCTTTGCCTTGAAAATGACCTTACGGGACTATGTAAATTTTATGAATAAAAATTAAAATTTCTAGCCATTTAATAATCCAATTCAAATGATTTTTTTTTTTATTTTGTTGAACTCACCAGACTCTACAAAAAAAAAAAAAAAGAGTTTATTTGAATTGGATTACTGGATAGCTAGAAAATTTAATTTTATTCATAAAATCTACATAGTCCCGTAAGGTCATTTTCAAGGCAAAGACCCCATATATTTAATTGAACATTATTATCAGGTTAGGATTAATTAGAATTGGTTAGGGTTCGTGGTTAGTTTATTAGGGATCTGCAAATGCCTATGCTGGGCATGTTGGCATAATGCCTGAAATTCAGTGTTGGTCACTTTTATAACCCCAGTAATTTGAATTGGAATTAATCTCATACATTCCAATTGGAATCTATAAGTCCAAGGTTCCAGTTTTTAGATCCAGTGAAACAAACTTGGTCCAATTACCAACACTGCTGGCACTAGTGCATGCAAGATTGCCTGTGCTCATGGGTGCAAAAGTTCTAGGCATTTTGTAGATACGCATATAGCAATTTAGGTCTGTGCCTGCAAGAGTGCTCAGCAACTTTAGGCTGGATATTTTGCATCTGCACCCGTGTCCATGGCTGTGCTTTTTTATTCGACACAGGCATGCACCGGGCCTGCAGATCTCTGGTTTTTATACGTAAAATTTCATCTCTCTTTATGGTTAAGAGAATGATTTAATTTGTCAATATATATATATATATAACAAAAAAACTTGGAACCTGACAACCACCTTTTTATGGAGATACTCTGGCTAAAATTTAAAATCCTTATTTCGTATAGTGAATTTTCGGCAAATCTATTTATTATGGTGCTGGAAGTCTATACTCAACAGTTACACAAGGTGTTTCAATTTTTTAACTTTTTATCTAAGAGGTTTTAAAAAAATCTGACTAGTAACTTTATAAAGCTATATCAGCTTTACATATGTGCCAAATATCTTTTCAAAATCTCATCACTATAAAGAGTTGATGCATTTTGAAAATTGAAATTTTATATGTAAATTTATAAATTTACATATAAAATTTCAATTTTCAAAATGCATCAACTCTTTATAGTGATGAGATTTTGAAAAGATATTTGGCACATATGTAAAGCTGATATAGCTTTATAAAGTTACTAGTCAGATTTTTTTAAAACCACTTAGATAAAAAGTTATAGCCGTTTAAAAAATTGAAACGCCTCGTGTAACTGCACCATATAAAGATTAATTTCAATTAATCGCAGCATTTCGATTATTGGCGAATTACATTAAAGAAGCTGCTTAAAGAACAGCCTATTGTTTAATACCCAATCAGATTGCTTGTAATGCCTGCTTTATCACATAAACAAGCCATCAGCTAAAAAAGAATAATAATGCAACTTTTTACCTCTCTCAAAAATCTTTTTCATATTTGTGCTATGTGGTTTACCCATTTCGAGTTAATTATCTTTATTTCTCTCTCAAAAATCTCTTTCATAAATCTCTTTCATAAATCTCTTTCATATTTGTGCTATGTGGTTTACCCATTTCGAGTTAAAGTTGTTATTTTTGTTTAGATTTGTTATCATTTTTAGCGAAAAAATAGCTAGAAAAGGAAAGTTAGATATCATGAATTTGCAATCGTTTTGTAGTGAGGTCTATTGATCTCTATTTTGATCTTGATCTTTCTTGATCTTTGATCTTATTCTTGATTCCAGCGCTCTGTTTTACTCTGCTACAGAACAAAGGCCATATTTATAAGAAAAAAAAATTAATTGGCTATTCCTTTTAAGTTGATCGTACAACAAATCCAAAAATAGATCTTAAATTTCCTGATTTTGCTTTTTTTTATGCAATTTCTTCATTCAAAAAATACTGGTTTTTCTATATTATTTATGCTCTTTCCCCAAAAAAACCGAAAGTTTCGATCTTTCATTAAACTTAATGTTCTGAACTTCTTTATCCTGCTTCCTATTTCTGAATCGTTAGTTTATAAATCTTTATTACTAAATTATGTAATTTTATTGTAAAGTAACATATGTACAATAAATAAGGATAATAAAAATATCCTCTAAGAAAAATCACACTGCTTATTACTCTGCTTATAGATCTCCTTTCTATAAGTTATTTTATTGAATAAAAAAACTAACCATTTTTAGAATACAAGCATTTCGCATCTAAAAAATTTTTGGTCATATGCTATTTATTAATCTAAACTATACTGTAAAAAGTTATATTCCAGAATCTATATATTTCCGAAACTAGAAAACCAGCACGAGTACGTGTATTTTAAATGAACAAATTTAAATTGCCATCTAAAATTCGTATTTGAACAATAATATGATTGTTGTAAAAAAAAAAAAAGCAATTAACTTATCGTCTGAACTGCACAAAAAACTCTTTTTTTAATTTTAAAAATATTTTGATCTGTTAATAAAATTTAATGAAAAACTATAAGATTTATTGATAAGTAATTTATTTTAGAGAATTGCTATTCGTACCCCAAATTTGCTATTCATACCTCATGCAAATTAAAATTTTTTTGAAGTTTGAGTGAGGATATCTCGATAACCACCAAGTCAAATTCGATAAACTTTTTTTATTTGAATTCTATACATTTGAAGAATTCAAATAAAAAAAACTTTATTGAAATTTGCTTAGTGATTACCGAGATATCTTCACTCGAAGTCTTAAATAAACAAACTGTCTATCAAAACTTTTTTTTTATTCTTTGGGCGAAAATATCTCGACACTTACTAAACCAAATTATCTACCATTTCCATGTTACTAATATAATATCTTTTTATTAATTGTAGGGTGCTTTTACATTAGATGATAACATTCTTGGCCCTGATGCCTATGTCGTTCTTATTAATAGGTTTCTGAGAATTTTAAATATAGAATTTGTATATTTTCATTATTTATTTTTAATTTTTAATTTGTTGTAGATGGAATGCCCTATCAGATGACGAAAAAGAAGCAACATTTCCACGAGTTGCGCCAAATTTTATTGTAGAACTGCGTTCCAGTAGTAGTACATATATAAGTTGTCATAGGAAAATGTTAACTTGGATGAATGCAGGAGTTGAAGTAAGTAGCTTAATCTTGATTAGAGTTTGGAACCCATCTACTGAATCTGCAATTCATATTGTCGCATATGGAACAAAGTATTTGACCACATATAGAATTTCTATAATGATAAAAAAATCCGGTTCCAAACTCTAATCATGATTACAATTTGTTAGTTGGATTCACATTAATTACTAATGTATGTTTATCTAGGAAGGATTATTAATAGATCCAATTGGAAACTCACGAACAGTGAGAATATATACCTGTGATACAAATACAAATAATATCATTTGGCAAGATCATATTAATCCTCAATCCGTTACTTCCCAGGTTCTCCCTGGGTTCACAATGAATATTCAAAGCATCTTTCAGTACTGAAAATATAAAGAAATAAAAATTTGAAAATAAAATAACATAAAATAAAAGTGTGTTAGGTTAAGACTCTTACGAAAATCATAAGTATCATTACTATTCTACAAGCAAGCAAAAGCGTAGAAACTATATAATGAAGCAGAATGCATTTTAATTGTATAAAATAGCCAAATAATAATAATAATAAAAATAATAAAAGCAAACAATTGACCCACGCTTAATGAAAATTACGGATTCCTGATCAATCTCTATGAATTTTTACAGGAATAACTTACTAATTATATTTATTATTCTTAATTAAAAAAATTTGTAATATATATTGATATATTATATTAAATTTACCTATCTATATAGCTTAGCATATAAATAAAGGTTACGGAAGGAACAATTGTTAGACCAATTTTCCTTAATATTGTCTTTTGGTTGTTACTCTCTTTAGTTATATCAAACGAATCCGTGATTAAAATGCATCGTTTGGTTTAAACAAAAAAAAAGGAAATTATATATATATTTGGCAATACATATATATAATTGACGATATGAAATAAAATTCATTTTAAGCCTTTCGAGGCTTCTATTTTGTTTCGTGTCTCGATCATGATTTTCATGACAGTTGTCAAGAATTGGATCTTGTTTGATTTTACAATAATACAGTAACAGGTTTATAAATTTCTCTAAACATTTAATTTTTGCCAATGCCAACTTTAAAATTGATAATTAGAAAAATGATTGCGATCGTAAAATAACAAATTATTATTATTATTTTACAGATGCAATTTTGTAAACTCTAATCTAGTGAGCGCCTATTCCCACCATGAAAATTTACTATTTCCCCCATGTTTTTACATGACTTTTAGTTATATATACATGACGAACATTGTTACGATAAATTACGGCCAATGGTGGAAATACCAAATTTCCATGGTGGAAATAGGACTCCCCTAATCTAAAAATTATTATATTAATTTTTAAAAATTCAGAATTACACCCAATAGCAACAATATGATAAATTTTAAATATAATGCTAAGAGGCTTTTATAAACAACCAGCTCATATACTGTAGACTATTTGGACAAATAGTTAAATTTATATATATATAGCTTTCAAAATAACAAAAATAGCGGTTTAATAGGCATGAGGCATTTTCTTTTACAGGGGTTCAACATTGGTCAAATGAATTATCGCTGTTTTCGAAATAGTTACAAAAAAAAAATTGTTTACGAACATTGGTCGCTATTATGTAGATTGGAAATCGATCACCTAAACTAATCGAGTATTCGAGTATTCGCAAAAAAAAATTTTTTTTTTTTTGAAACTATTTTCACCCATTTTGAAAACAGCGATAACAACCCAGATTTTATAATTTATAAAAAAACACTTCAATTTAATTTATTTAATAACCACATCAGTACTGTATAACTATAAATCTAAATTTTAAATATATATTTTTAATATTTTAATTCTTTGCTAAAAGCTGCAAGGCTAAACTCCAAGTAAGTTGTTGTATTCTTTGTATTTACAATCTCTGTAAAATTAAATAATTATATAGCAGATACTATATATAGCAGTTAATTTTAAATAAAATAGAAAAAAATAATATAGCTTAATATTTAAATTAAATATATATCTTTAACTATAAATTTATATTTTAAAGTATTAATTGTTTAATTACAAATACTATAGGTTTAATATAGTACTTACCAAAAAGCATTTTAACAGAATCGATAGGTTTATTTTGTAATACTTGCTAATATGCAGTATATGGTATGATCAGTTTTAAATAAATAAATAAGATACTGTAGCATAATTTTTTAAAATAAATATCTTTAATTGCACTTGATATTCTTTGAGGATTATTATTTTGCTAGTGTATATAAAATATGAATATTTTGGTATAATAATTAGCAATGTCTTGATTATTTATTAGTATCTAAAAATTGTTTTTAACCTCTATGTTTTTTTTTTTATTTGAAAATGTTATAAGCAGTAGGCTATTTTTTTGGTCTGAAACTATACATAACAATCTGGAGTTCTAGGTGTACAATCCTCCGCATATATCTAATAAAAGACAAAATCAAATGGATTATCATCAAAAGGTCTTTGTCCAGTTAACATTTCGATACAAAGACTCTGAACTATAAATATTAGAGCTGATATAAACTTCTGTCCTAATAATCTCTAGAGCAACGTAAAGCCAGACTCCATAAATACTTTTTTTAAAATCATCTGTCTTTTTAGACAATCCTAGATTTTATGATGTAAGATCGCATACTCGCACTAATGCCTTTATCTTGCAAAATATTACCATTATAAAAGTTTGCATGAATATATATATACAGTATCTTGCACTATGAATTTCATCTAAATCATCAAATATCTTCAAGTAGTTTTAATTTAATTTGCCAGGTAAGATCACAAAATTCCATTCTTAAAAGCTTCCATTGTCAGCATATTGAAATATCATCATGTTTTCATTTGTTTTGTGTTTTAAGTCATTAAACCTAATAGTTTATTAATAGCAAAAGGTTAATATTTACCGTTTTCTTTTGCTATATATACAGTATATGTGTATATATTGCACAATAAATTAGCAACTTCATCATTCGACAAGGCGAACAAGAATTATTACATAATGAGTAGTCATTGGTTTAAAAATGAATTAGCCAGGGCGAACCCAAAGTTCAGGTTATATGTATACATGGGTGTCTAAATTACTCCTCTTAATAAAAAATTATTTCGACATTTAGTCTGTTGAAATTAATTTTTTTTAATGACGAAATTAAATTTCATAGTTGTCAAAATTTTTAGTGAAATTATTTGAATTCTTTATGTCAAAATACGTTAGGTAGTATAGTTACTGTGTGGAATTCATATAAAAAACTAGCAATGTCGAAATGTTTGTCGAAATTGCTTTTTTTAAAAAATAATTTAGACAACCATGTATAGTTATATGATATATACTGTATTATATACATGCCATTCGGTAATACAGAACCCAAACAATATATATGGGCAGCCGTCAATAGAATTCAAGCAGATTGACATTTCTTTAAAAAATTAATACTTTAACTTCCACAGCTCACATCTCGATAAATTTTAAAGCTATCTTGATGACTTATTGTCAAAAAAAAAAGCATAGATTTTAAGCTTTCTTTTGACTATTAAATCATAAAAATAACTTCAAAATTCGTCGAAATATGATCGTAAAAATTAAGATATTAACTTTTAAAATGCCAATCTGCTTGATTTTTATTGACAGCTGCCATATAGAGGTTGCATCGGGCTTAATAAAAGATTTTTCCCAAAGCTGCAATCCTGATTGGTTGAGCCTTATTTTTACCAATCAGAATTGTAGAAAAGTGGATAATACAGTAATGTAACCCCTGCTTGCATTGTTCGGGTCCTAGTAACACCCAATCTTTAGTTATATACAATAGGTTTTGATCATAATGCTGCTATACTTATATTATGCGACCTGAAATTTGGAGGGGCCTGGCTAATTCTGAGTTCCAGAGAAGGTATCATTCTTTCTACTTATAATATGGGATGACCAGAATTTAATTCTGAACAACTTTAATTAAAAGCTCAAGAACAAAAAATCATCTCAGTATTTAGCAATTTGGCTATGAATAATCGTAGCCGCTCGTAGTCATCCTTAGTTAACAGCACCTGCTTTTATTGATATTTATTGTAAATTACATTTAAAAATAAAAAGAACATTAATAAAAATAAATTTAAAAGACAGCTAAAGTTATATTTGAGATTTACATTAAAATAATTCAAACCATGTATTCAGTTACATTATCGGCACTACTTTCATAGGCGAGATTTTTACATGTGATTAATCGACTGGAAGGTAAACAGCGCCAAAGAAAAAAAGATAATTTAATTGTACACAACCCTGCCGTCGTATTCTGATGCCAACATCATCCTGTAAAATGTCTTCATATTATCTTCCAATGGGCCAACACCAGAGACCACATATTGCTGTCAAATATGAAAAAATAAATATAATCTCCCAATAGCAGGTGTAAGAGCCAGTAATAGTAAAATGTTTTGATTACTGTTTGATCGCGATAAATCTACAGCTAAGTATGTATGACTATTGGCCAATCAAATGAATTGAGAAAATGCACGAACACGTACTTTTGTACAAATATAGACACGCGTGCAGACAAGTTTCCAAATTACGTTTCTGATGTGATTTTCAAAAAAGTAACCAGTTTTGGTCAAAATACTCATTTAATCGAAGTGTCGTACGTAGCATTTGACGCAAAGATACTCCGAACAAAAAAAAAACATAAATCTTCCGTTACGCTTCAGACAATAATTGTCTATACAAAATAGAAACTAAATTCATTTGTGCTTACGTTTAATTGTGAAAAAAACAAATAGAAGTAATATCAACAGCTGAAATCAAGTTAAAAAAATATACTTATATAAATTTATATATACTGGTATACTACCTCCAAAGTTCAGGTCACATGACACAAGCCAAAACCTATTGTAGATAACTATAGAACTAAATACTAGCGCGCGTACAGTATATGTATTCAAAAAGGATAAAGAAAATTTCGTATAATATTACGGATATGGTGAATGAATTTAAACTCCGTACGTATTACAGTACGTGTACAACCAATTGTCCCGTGACTGCATGACTGATAATAAATTTCTGGTATGCAGGTATGATTAACAAATTCACCTTTTATATAAAACATGCTCCCGGTAACGCCGAAAACTGATTGCCCTCATATTAATAATGAACTTACTCATGCTTGGGCGCAAGTTCCAGTTGATGGTTAGTAAATTAGTCAAGTTTAATACATAAGCTTGCAGGTAAAAAATTCTTTTGGATAATTATTTATACGTATTATTTAGTCCGAGCACCTTGTAATACCTGTCAAGATACTAGCGAAAATTGGAGGTGTCTAGAATGCCAAAAAGTATTCTGCAGCAGGCATGTAAATGGCGACTAATTCAAAATTCAGTTATTCCCAAATTCATCTTTATTCAAATTTTTAATTTTATTAAAAAGATATGTTAATGGACACATGAAAGAACATAATGAACAAACAAATCATAAATTAACGATTTCATTCTCTGATATTTCTACATGGTGT